GGCTCGCAAGCACGTCGGGGTCTTCCCGCAGCAGGACGCGCTGTCCTGGGAGACGGCGACTCACGACGCGAAGGTCACGATCGGGCTCACGTACGTGATCTTCTGCATGAAGTTTTCGTTCCCTCAGCTGAAGGGCCCCAGGATGCTCGAGGCGTGCGACGGCGACGGGGGCGATGGCGGCGGCGCTAGCTGACGGCAGTGTGGATGGCGATGCCAAGATGGGGTGGAGCTTGGAGGGCAGCTGGAGGAGGGCGACGAGGAGAACGGCGACGGGGGAGGGCGAGCAGGAGGAGGAGGATAAGGACGATGAGTGCGGACTAGGAGGATGAGGAGTGGGCGGTGGAGAGGCGGACGGGGGATGGGACAGGGGGTGGGGGTGAGGTCGGCGAGGAGGATTCGGAGTGGGAGGGGGAGTGCGAGGAGCAGGAGGACGTCAGAGCTGTCAGGCCGCTGCCGAGAAGCTGACCCTCGAGCTGAAGGCCAAGGGCATCTGGACAGCTCTTCCGAGCTGCGTGGTGACCTCCTTGGAGAACGGGGGGAGCACGCTGGAGGTCGGCGCTGACGAGGTGGCCCCGGCGGCGTTCAGCGGCGCCCCGCCGCCAGCGGCCGCCGCGGCCCCGGCGGCTGCCGCTGCCCAGGCGGCCGCCGCTGCCCCGGCGGCCGCCGCTGCCCCGGCGTCTGCCGCTGCCCCGGCGCCTGCCGCGTGAGGAGCGGCCCTGCCGGCGAATCGGCGTCGCAGCCGCCCTCGACGCTAAGGGGCGTCGGGCCAGTCGCGCCCCTGCGGGAGGATGAGGATGAGGAGGATGCCGATGTTGAGGAGGATGATACGGGTGTTGGTGCTGGCGGTGTTGGTGACGATGATGATGCGGATGCCAACGCTAACGGTGACGATGATGTCGGTGATGATGTTGACGATGCTGGCGGTGATCATGATGACGCTGCCGATTGAACTCGAGTTGACGATGAGGATGATGACTGTGGTGATGTCGGTGATGTGGTGATGATGCTGCCCATGCTGACTGCACCTGGGCCTCATGGTACAGCGAGCCGCGCTGTTCCTCCGCCTCCTCCTCCTCCGTCGCCTCGACCTCCTCCTCTGCCGCCTCTGCGCCCGTATTCCCCCCCATCCTCCTCTCCCTACTCTCCCTCCTCCCTCGCCTCCCCCTCCTCCTCCTCAGCACGGGCCCCGCTGCGCGCATCTGTCGGCGCAGCGGGCTGTCGCACCATGAGAGCCCGTCGCGTTCGCTGTTCCTGATCTCTGCTGTGCGTTTTGTTTCTTATCGCGGGCTTCAGCCTGCGGTCTGTGCGCGGCGCGGGCCTCGGCTTGCGGCTTTCTTTCGACATCGGCGCCACATGCCTTGCGACGCAGGTGCCGCGGCGAGTGGCATGGAACGGCGTGAGCTGCACGGCAGAGGATGAGGATGCGGAGGGGCAGGATGAGGAGGGCGAGCGGGTGGTGGCGGAGGAGGGATGGGAGGGGGAGGGGGGGGGGGGGGGGGGGGGGGGGGGGGGGGGTGGGGGGGAGGGGGGGGAAGGGGGGAGGGAGGAGGCGGGGGCGGAGGAGGAGGCGGAGGAGGAGGAGGAGAGAGGAGGGAGGGTGGCTCGGGGATGTGGGTGGGGGGGGGGGGGGGGGGAGGAAGAAGAGGAGACCCAGGCTGTCTTCCCCTCCCATATCCGCTCAGCCCATTGCCCGCGTGCATGGTGCGCCTGCCCGGCCGCCCTTGTTGTGCGCGTTCGCTCCGAACATTCGTCTGGCCACGAAATATGCCGCCCTTCTGATTGTGAGTGCTGCATTTGCCGTGCACGACACCGCTTGATCAGCATCGTCGCAATGCCAGGCCTCTCGAGGAGGGGTTCGTGATATCAAACGGTGCGCACAAGTCATGATTTGTGGAGGGTGTTTGAGGTTTTTGGTTTTCAAGATATATTTTTTGGGATCGCCGAGGATAAATTTCAGGAAACGTTGAGGTTATTTGTTGGAGCGTCTGTGGATTAATATCAGGAAACGTTACACTACCGAAGGGTGGAGCCGCTCAAGCCATGGCGACGCAATTCCTCATCAATGATAACGGTAGCGACGTTTCGGGCGACGTCGGTTCAGACGACGACGCGACTTAGATCTTTTTCTGCATCGGTATCTTGCTCGTCCATCGTCCTCCTGGTCCGCTTCCTCCGTTTGCCTCTTCTGGGGACTGTATCATCCCTCTTTGCCGCCACATCGGCCCCCAGCTGCATCACCATTGAAACCGTACTCTCCTCATCGCAAACGCCTGCCATCTGAGGCCTACCGAATCTCAACCTTGAGCCTCGCCCTCGCACCGCCGCGAGGACATCCGATGATCCCCGACTTCGGAAGCTACCCGTGCCAGAGGAGTGGTGGCCGCCCTTGCTACGCAGCGCTGAAGGAGGGGAGGGGTGCATCCTGCCCCGAGGATCGAGAGGGGCGATCTGCGCGAGGCGGACGAAGGTCGAGCGATTCGATCGGGAGAAGGGTCCACAA